GTTAGTTGATTAGTTGAAACATTTAGAACAAAGAATAAATTTTGTAATTTTTATGGTGATTAAATTTTGTAAGTGTTACCATTTACAATTAATTTATATTGTGTTTCGCTTTTGCATGCTTAGATCCCCACTTCCTGAGTATTAATTTACTCAAACTCAACAATCGATCGTACTATTGGGAGTGAGTATTGAGTTAAGATTGTCGTGAAGTGTTAGTATATTTTCTATAGATATTAGACATAACATGGAGATTGCGACTAACGTTCATCAATGCTTAATAGAAATTTAAGTGTTGTAGAAACTCACACTTAAAGAGATTACTTCATGGATTCAATGACAAATAATTCTAAGACAATAATATCTTTTAATCTTAAAACGAAGAGACATTTGAGTTCTTTGGATATAAGTTGGCTACATATTAGTCTTATTCTAACATTATCTGTAACCGGTCACCATAACGAGTAAGTCTATGTATGATTTGGCTCGTAGACAATTGAAAGTTTATTTGTTCCATTTCACCATAATTTAAAAAGGTGATATCATGGGCCCCTCGACGATTTGATGATGATATTGATGTGCAAGGCTAAGCCTAAACTTAATTGATGGTTACGATTAGTAGTCAGATTTGATTTTCATAAATCGGAAATTGATAAACATACTGATGGAATGTTAGGTTGATTCATTATCCATGACTCAGTCCATAGTTATATATAATATAATGTGGTAAGTCTTAGGCGGGTTTTTTTTTCTCATCTAATAATTGTGTGGATAATAATTTGTAATTAACACTTGAAAAAATGATGACATAAGGCTACATGGTATGTACCGAGAAAAGAGAGCGGGAGGCATTCCCACACCTCAGAACATAATACTGATGGTGTGGGATAGGGGGAGCGAGATTTGAGTGAGGGAAATTCTCCCCGCATTCTCTCTCCTTCTTTCATTCTCTCACTTTCTTTTTTTTGTTTTTTTTTCTACTAGCCATTCAAACGGTTATTTTTTTTTTTAAATTTACTTCTTTTAATAATGGCTACAATTGGAATATATATATATATATATATATATATATATATATATATATATATATATATATATATATATTACCATTTTACACATCTATAAATACCTCACTATTTTCACCTTCAAATTCACACCTTATTCTATCAATTTCTCTCTATTTTCTTAAATAAATGAATCCCAATAATCCAACCCCAAACTCCGACAGAAGAAAAAAAAACCAATGTTTCGAGTTCAAGAACGCCAACTCAAAACATTTTCGCCATCGATCCATATCAAGGGGTTTATCTTCCCCAACTTGATGCCCCTATTCAATCTCCTCCATAATTCAAATACCAAAATGTTAGGCAATTCTACCCCATGTATGTGCCAAATGTTACTCCAAATATGTTCACAAACTTTGTCATTTTTCCTAATCAACTTTCACCAAATCAACCCCAAAGCCAACCCCTACTCCGTTAATCTCAAATCCAAAGCCAAACACCACCCTTTCACTCTCAACCACAATACAAAAGCCTCAATGAGATGGAGGACGCCGTAAAGGAAAACAACTCTGAACTTCACTGAATGTTTGGCATTCAACAAAGAGAAAGAAGCCGAAAAAAGAAGGAATGGGAAGAAAGGCAAGAAATGGAGGATATGAACTTCTTGATGGAAAACACCGATCATCTTTTAGGACTGACCCTCAAGCTAGTTTTGAAGAAGAAAGAGAAGATCATGAAAAAATATTTCCCGTAAATTGTTTCATTTTTTTTAAAAATCTAGACCTGACATTTCTGAATGTTTTCTAGGAGCTCTTATGTATCTTACTAATTGTACTAGACCTGACATTTCTTTCGTTGTAAACTTGCTACCAAGGTTCAGTTCATCCCCGACAAAAAGACATTGGAATGGGATCAAACATATTTTTCGATACCTTTGAGGAACTAGTGATTTAGGGTTATTTTATCCTAATAATTAAAAACAAGGCTTGATTTGTTATGCAGATGAAGGTTATTTTTCTGACCCTCATAATGCTATATCTCAAACTGGATACGTATTTATGAATGGAGGCACTGTAATATCCTGGCGTTCTCAAAAGAAAACACTTGTTGCCACATCCTCAAATCATGCTGAAATAATTGCACTAAATGAAAGTAGTAGAGAATGTATATGGTTAAGATCTATGACACAACTGGTTTTAACTTCATGTGGAATTGAAAAGGATACATGTCCAACTTTAATTTATGAAGATAACTCAGCATGTGTCACTTAAATGAAAGAAGGATATTGTAACATCCATAAAAATCATGCCAAATTTAAACTTATAAAAATATTCCAAGAAACATTGATTATTACAAAACTTGTTTCCAAAATAGTTCAGTGTCAAAATATCCCAGAATCAAATCATAAACAACAGGAGGTGTACGATCACGCCTTCGCCTTCCCGCGATCATCAGAAGTACCTGAAACAAATCAACAACTGTAAGCCCAAAGCTTAGCGAGTTTCCCCAAACTACCCCCGCGCACATCAACATACATATAACACAAACAACATACTATGGGTCCAATCAACCATCGGGTTGGAATACCCCAGGCCCTCAACCATCGGGTTGGAATGCCAATCATACTATATGTCCAGTCCTCCTCGGGATGGAATACTCCAAGCCCACAACCATCGGGTTGGAATGCCCTCATACTACGAGCCCAATCATCCTCGGGACGGAATACTCACGGCCCACAACCATCGGGTTGGAATGCCCAGGTCTGTTGGCTCTCGCACAAAGCAGATGAGCCTCAACCACCAATCAAACATGTGCACATATAACATATAATCACATAACAGTCTATAGACAGACAAACCGATCTAACAGATCATACCAGCATAATACAATCCTATCTACCAGGATACTAATCTAACAGATCATACTAGCATAATACCATCCTATCTAACAGGATACTGATCTAACATATCATAATAGCATAATACCATCCTATCTACCAGGATACTGATCTAACAGATCATAATAGCATAACATATCAGGATAACAATCCAAAAGGGCCGGCCTTGGTGCCTTAGACCCTTGGGTATAGTGAGGAAAACTCACCTCACAACTGTCGAACTGAAGCGATAAGCTCAAACTCTCGAACCACAGCCGCGAACTCCACCACCTATATTTACCATAAGCTCATTCCCATAAATTTCCAAGTTACCAAAATACCCCCAGAAGTCAACTAGTCAACCCTTGGTCAAAGTCAAAGTCAACAGTCCATGTTGACCCAACTCGTCGAGTGCAGCTAGCAACTCGTCGAGTTCCTTAAGGGTTCAGAAGGTCATAAAACCCTCACTGACTCGCCGAGTTTACTACCAACTCGTCGAGTCTATGCGTGTTCAGAAGTCGAGGAAACCCTAACTGGCTCGTCGAGTCATCCTACTGACTCGCCGAGTTCATGCAGAAACCTTCAAGGCTAATCTTCATCGGACTCGCCGAGTTGGCCATGCAACTCGTCGAGTCTCTTCAGTCCTTTCTTCATTCAGATGCTTATAAGCCACCCTAAAGCTCCATATTGCAGATCTGAGTTCCTAAAGCATGCTTCCCAGGTAAAGTTGCAAACTTTACGTACATGCAAGGTGCTAATGGCCAAAATCAAGCTAGAGAAGAGGTTCTAAGTGAGGATAAGGCATTATCTTGCTAAAGGCTGAAACTTTATGACCATAAGAACCAAGATGAGCCTAGATCTGAAGTTGCAACTTCAGATCATGTTTAATACCCGGAATGAAACACCAATCAAGCTAAAATGGCCCTAATCTCAAACATGGAGAGATCTAGATAGAAGGAAAGTCAAGGTAACGACTTGTTACCTTCAAGTGATGCTAAAATGGAGTAGGGTTCAGATCCTCAACTGTTCCTTGCTCAAAGCTTATTGATCTTCAAGCTCCTTTCACTAAGATCCACCTTCCAAGCTTAAAACACACAAATATGGAGAGAAAACGCGATTTAGGGTTTCTGGGCTCAAAGAAGGCTGTAAGGGAGGCTAAGGGAGGCTAATGACCCTTTAAATAGGGTGCAAAACCCCGGAAATTAGGGTTTCATCCTCCAGCTCCAACTCGTCGAGTTGGTCACTTAAAACCCGCGACCAAAACCGTATCTACTCGACGAGTCAGGGCATCCAACTCGTCGAGTCGAACTTTCAAATGGAAATGTAAGACTGAGAAGTTTATACCTGAGAGTCGGGGTGTTACAGATATATCAAGAGTGACATGACAAAACATATACCTCTAAAGTTTTTTGAGTACACTCAAGAGCTTATATAGAACTATCAGGTTGAAATAAAATATGTTTAGTCCAACAACAATGCAGCAGACCCTTTTACGAAGGCACTTCATACTGTAATCTTTAGGAAACATGTCCATGGAATTGGAATGAGACATGTGCATAACATATAGTGTAACATATGTCTAAATGAGGGGGAGTCAACTATACACTGCACGCTTTTTCCCTTCACTAAAGTTTTTTCCCACTGGGTTTTCTTTAGCAAAGTATTTAATGAGGCAGCACTTCAAAGTTGACCTCTGATATGAAATGATTTCATCCAAGGGGGAGTGTTATAAATAATTGGATGACAACATTTTATACCCTAATGTCAAATATGTAAGAGTTATTTTCAACTCTTATAACAAATATGTCAAATATGTGTAAGAACTCATTGATTATGTCTAGTGATTTAATTAGTTTAAATAGCACCCTTGTATATGTAAAAAGACACACCAATTTGAATACTTTATATAAGTGATCAAATTATCTCCAAATCTTTCTTCTTCTTTCTTAAGGTTCTTAGTTCAGTTTTATTAATCTTGTTTTAATTACGTCAAATCATCTCATCTTTTCATTTTAATTTTAACATTCGACATAAAAAGATAAATAAAAATATTTAGTATGAGGATATTAAACATCTTTTTTTATTGCTCTCTCAAATACAAATTTAGAAGTTACTGGCAAAAATTACAACTTTCTTATAGTTGAGGGACCGTAATGTTAATTCGTGCTTCTTTCTTTAGTTCATCTGTTCCTCTATACTATTTTGAACCTGAACGAGAAAATAAAGCCGAAAATTCTTGACGACGCGAAAATCCAAATTCAATGGTTAGTACAAAGTTGCTTCGAGATCCAGTTTCTATGCTACATAAATGGCGCTTATTATTGCTCGACTCTGATCCCTTTTTGTTATTCTTCTTTAAACCATTACATACGTTCGTGATTTCCAATTCTATCTCCCTGAATACACTCATAAATGGATTTTAGCATATGATCAACTTGCATGTTTTATTAAATTGAGCATCCAAGTTACATAATTATGCTATTACTGTTTCAATCGCTTAATATCTTGATTTTGGCTGTTGGGTTCTAGGGTTTTCAAGGTGCGAGTCATGTGGGTATATTTGCATCCTAGTTTTCTTTTCTATTTAACAATTAGGTTGTTTTTTCGGCAAAACGAGCATATTAATTGAAACAAATTCGGTCACATACTCTTCAATCGGAGTAAAACTAATTCGGGGTTTGAAGTTTCAGTAAGATCCATTTCATCGGGGCTTACGAAATTGACTGTGTATTCATCTATATATCGATAGAATGCAAGTAGATGCAAAATTTTAAACTTGATTCTTTATTTCGTCATGTCTGTAGGAGTCTTGCCCTTCTGTAAAGAACATTTTACTTCTTGATTCAGAAGGAGATCGAGTAGCTGTTAAGTACTATTCAGATGATTGGCCAACTAACAACGCTAAAGAAGCATTTGAAAAGTCTATTTTCACCAAAACTCAGAAAACCAATGCACGAACAGAAGGTATGAATGCTTCACTTCTAATTTTTATATCCCCTTTCTGTATTATATCTGTTTGCTGAAATTTGGAATACTTGCACAGCTGAGATAGCAATGCTTGAGAACAATGTTGTGGTCTACAAATTTGCTCAGGATCTTCACTTCTTTGTCACTGGTGGTGATGATGAAAACGAGCTCATTTTATCAACTGTTCTTCAGGGTTTTTTTGATGCAGTTTCTCTTCTGCTTAGGTACTTTCTAAACAATTAATCTCATCTACTTTTCTTTTTTGGACTTAACTACTTTTATGGTTATGTGTTTAGGGGAAATGTGGATAAAAAGGAAGCACTTGAAAATTTAGATCTCATTTTCTTGTGCCTTGATGAAATTATCGATGGAGGGTAAGAACTAAGAAATAAGAAGCCTGTTTAAATTGTGGTTAAGGAGTGGAGGGCATTTATGTCTTTTTTGAAAAAGGCTTATACTTTTTTTTTTGTAATTAGAATCATTCTTGAAACCGATGCAAATGTTATTGCTGGAAAGGTTGCTAGCGATAGTGTAGATTCTGGAGCTCCTTTGTCTGAACAGGTACTATTTTTTATACATTACTAATGCGTAGAAAATTTGAATATATAAAAGTGTTTAAATGCAAAAATTTAGCCCAAAATTATATGATTTATAATTCATGCTTTCAACACTTGAATTTGGTTGATGCAGACAATAAGTCAAGCATTGGCAACTGCACGTGAACATTTTACACGATCTCTCCTCAGGTAATCAATTAAATTTGAATTAGCAAAACACACAAAAAAAACATTTCTACTTTCATCATTTAACAATTTAGTAACTATTTGGTAAAAGTACAAGTGTTTTATCGTATTTTGACTAACAAAATTCTGACTTGAATTTAATATAATTTTTTTTTTTCAAAAATCAGTGGATAAGGATGCTGATTGGAGTAAAAAGTTGCCCAATCATGATTTGAAATTGGATTCTTATGCTATTAGGGCATATACATCAGATACAATTCTACAAGTGTAATGATATTGTAGGTGATTTTGTTGTTGACATGTTAAATATTTCACAGTGGCTTCTTGAAAAATTAGTCATCAATTGGGTGGTTATAATTATTTGACAAAATTGCAAAAATGGTCCCTGTGGTATGCATTTTTTTGGGGTTTTAGTCCAAACCTCGACTTTTTTGGATTGGTGGTCCTTTTGGACTGGTTTCTTTGCGTTTTTGGTCCCTCAGTAAACTGAAAAGACTATTATGCCCTTTTGATATATTTTTTATGCTTTTTCTATTTAATTTAAATGAAAATTAAAATAATTACCTAATTTGGGGCCCACATCTCTCTCTCTCTCTCTCTCTCTCTCTCTCTCTCTCTCTCTCCCCTTTGACGATTGTTTTCTCCCCCAATCAAACCTTGAAACCACTATTTTTTGATGAAAATGGAAGCTGTAAACCAAAATAAGAACCTAAATCAACAACCCAAATCTCGAACCCATTTCTCCTTCTTCACACCCAAAGCTTTGATGAGATAAACCAGCTCCAAACACCCTTCTTTTCATTCAATTGTTGTTGCCATCAAGAAGAAGAACAGGAGGCAGTTACCTCTTCTACTTCGCCTGTCTTCTCCTTCGTTTCCTGTTATGAAATGTGTGACTCGTCTTGGAGCTCGGAAAACAGAGACTGGTTCGAGGCAACAGCCCCTTGTTGCTCCACCCTTTTACCTGTCGATCGTAGTCACTGAACTCCCCCTGAAGACTGTTGCGATCGTTGTTGCCTTTCCCCCATTCATCCTCCATTTCTTCTTCGTTCCATGGCCTGAACCCACCACCGAAGTGGGTGTTTCCTCGGAGCAAACATCGGAGGCGGCAACCCCTTTTTGATTCCCCACCTTCGCACCTTCCTTCTGAGATAGAAGAAGCGCAGGAGCTGAAGGCGGTGACAGGCTCGAAGATGATTAAAGCATCGAAGGTGAGGCAATATGGTTGCTCCGTTTCTCCTCTCGATTGCTTTCCCCTTTTGTTGTGGGCTGTGGAGGTAAGTAGCACACGAAGTGAACAGAGGGTGTTTGGGCTATTTGATCGACGGGAAAGAAAATGAAGGAGGAAGGGAGTTGCAGAGGTGGTGGCAGCCACCGGTTCTTCTTCCCTTGCTGGTGGTATCCAAGAGAGAGAGAGAGAGAGAGAGAGAGAGAGAGAGAGAGAGAGAGAGAGAGAGAGAGAGAGAGAGAGAGAGAGGTGGGCCCATTTTTATACTTAAGAATAATAATAATTTTAAAAATAGAAAGAAAAATAAAAACTAAATTCATTAAGGGTATAATAGTCTTTTTAGTTTGGACAGGGACCAAAACTGCATGTAAAGCAGCCCAAAAGGACCACAAATCCAAAAAAGTCGAGGTTTGGACTAAAACCCCAAAAAAATGCATACCACAGGGACCATTTTTGTAATTTTGTCTAATTATTTTTTATGATGAGAATGACAAGGGTATTTACATATTTTGCACAAACGAAAGATTGAGAGCGAGTGATTGTCCCACCTTTTTTTATAGGACAAAACATTCTTGGAAACACTTTTGTAGGTTAGTATCAATCTGGTACATGTCAAATCCAATAAAAAGCTATTGTGTTGTATCATGTTCTACTTGTGTAACAAATGAAACCTTAAAGATTGATATCATGTTTGCTAATTGAGAATATCTAAGGTAACTATAAAAGTCAATTTTTCGTATAACCAGTCCTTTATATGTTTTGATAATATCTAAGGTAGATAAAGTCTCAAAATACATTACACATTGATGTCTAAAATATGACAAATATGGTTTATAATTAACCCAAAGTTTTGGCAAACTTAATTGTACTTGGGTCATCTGGTATACTCATTGCTACCACAAATGCGATGGGGTGTCATGTCATTGTCATTTTATCACTACAATTAAACCATACCACTATATAATACTTACAATTCTACATCACTATATCCATCTTATCTTTTTGATCATTTAATAAAAAAATGTATTTAATTAAAAGGTAAAAAGAGATAGGGAGAGAGAAAGAACATGAGACGGTTCTTAATTGTGGCAATGACCACATTCCACAACACCACATTGCACTGTGGTGGTGTTCATTATCGTGGTGGTGGCCTGCCACCATGGCCACGAAGTGGCTTGATGCTACGTATTCTGGATGGAGTAGTAGTCCTACAAGAGAAACCATAATATATTTCATAAAAATGGTTACCTTAGCCTACTGGTACGACCCATTTTTTTAAAAGAATCGGTTTTACCATACAAAAAGGTTTAGCGGTGCAGTTTGCTGTCCGTTTGTTATCCCACTCGTTGTACGATGATAACTAAGATTTTAGTATTAATTAATTTAAAATTTGATATGGTTCAAAAAATAAAAATATTGACTAAATTCTATTAGGATACAATATTGATTAAATGTAATAAATTATTGTCTCTAGAGAAAATATAAGAAAAATATTAAGTTGCAACGTAGTCCATGATCATGGTGAGATCTATCCATCTTTTACAAGCCATCGTGCTCCCATGTAATTCAACACACTCTTCCATTTTTAACAGATATTAATTAAATTCAAGAAAATAGTTCGAAGAAATACAAGAAGCAAAACCATGGATACATTCTCCATCTCCACCTTCCTCTTTCTAGTTTGTATACATTTATGGCTAGTGTATTTTTTGTGTAGTTATTGGGGGAAAGTCTTTGTTGCCTCCATGGAAATGGTGGTAGAAGGACAAAATCAACCCAAAATTGTGCTAGAACCGATAAAGTTTTATAAAATGGAAGAGGATCGAATCAGTTTGTTGCCAAATTGTTTGCTTCTTGAAATCCTCTCTCGTTTACCATGCACAAAAGATGCCATTAGAACAGGTATACTCTCCACTCGATGGAAGCATCTTTGGACTTCGGTTCCTACTCTCATATTTACATATATAGATTTCAATCACCCCCTGTCCAATTTCGTTTCGTTCGTGGACAAAACCCTAACTCAATGTTGCATATTGAAGCTCAAGAAATTTGGAGTGTATACATGTTATGACATTGAATTTGAATCTCAATTCAACCGTTGGATCCGTTGTGCCATAAGTTGTAATGTTGAAGAGTTTATTTTGAGGTTATGGTATCCAGGAGCGAAAGCCGAGTTTCAATTGGATCAATCTTTATACATCAGTTCATGTTTTACAGATCTGACATTAGCAGGCTGCGTGTTTAATCCAATGGGGACGATTAGTTGGAAAAATCTTAGGAGTTTGTTTATTTCCGATGTGATTTTAAATGAAGATTTGATCGAAAACATATTATCTGGTAGTTCTTTATTTTAAAATTTGGTATTAGATGATTGTTATGGTTTTAGTCGGCTTGATATTACTTCAAAAAGCGTTAAGAACTTAATGTTGGTGGGATACATGGATCCCGATGATGATTCAGCTAACAATATTATGCGAATCAATGCTCGTGATATTTTATCACTAACAATCAAAGGTTGTTTGTTGATGTGGAAGATTTTGTTGTCAAGCGTGTCTTCTTTAGTTGAAGCTAACTTTGATTATGAAAAGTTCGGGTATTATGAGACAACATCTGAAGAAGCGGAAGAAGATATGCTTAAAGGATTTATAGTAAATTGCCGCGATGTCAAGGAGCTTAAAATTGGGTTTTTCTGTTCTAAGGTAAAATTTATTTGTAGAAATTATATGTTGATTAGATTTAGTAGTATTTTATTGATAATTGTTTGATAAACCTGTTTTAATTATTCTTTTACTCGCATTGTTGTGGTTGTAGGTTTTGGCTCGTTTGGAAGCTAAAGGTTTTGTTTTTCCATCGAATATGAACTTTCATTCGTATTGTTGTGTTTCATCATCTTCTTTATACTCTGATAGTGATTCATTATTAGATACTGATTAAGTTGAAAGTGGAAATTGGGAGGTGTTCTTGTTTGATCATGGTTATAAAGATGATGAGTTTAGTTGAGTGGTGATGCTTTGAATTCATGTTTAGGCTAAAACATTGTGTTTAAGGCATTTCAAATGCATATAAATTTGTTACCTCGATCACGGGTTTTTAATTGAGCATGTGACGACATAATGAAGGATGCATTGATGAACATGCGAACATGGTGTCAATGCATGTAGTTTGGTTATTGTTTAAATGCACCATTAGAAGAGTTTCAATGCAAGTTTGGTTACTTATTGTTTATGTTTGTATTTTTTTATAGATTATTTCTGTTTACAGTTTACTTATATATTAATCAAACCTCCAAACAAAAGCATTACTGATGTTGGGTTTTTGGCTCAAAGCTTAATCTATGTTCAAAATGTCATAGCATAAATATTTCTTAGCACATTATTAAAGTATACAGACAATAGAAACTATCATAAATTCATTCTTTATGGAAAATTCGTAGTAAACTCATTATTTCTTGAAATACCCAAATTTTCTTTCTAAAATTCTTGAAAGTTTGATAGATACGGTTTACCTTATCCATGTTAACTTGGTCTTTTACCCTCCTTTGACGTATTACTCGCAAACTGAAAAATCAAGCAAGATACAACAAGCATTTAACTCATTTCATGTTTGCGCTTTAAACGACAAACGAGTATCACATCAGTTAATATGAAATTCAAGGTCGACAATCAAGGCACTTACTATTATAACAATATCTTTATGACTTTCATATACATACATGTTTATCTTGGATTATGTTTAATGGTGACATATGGTGACCAAATCACAGATAAGACTAAATAAAAAAAACTAATAGAAAAAAAAGCCCCAAAAGTTTTAGATATAACTCAAACACACTCCATTATTAAGTATATAAATAGGAGAGATTAGTTTGGCTTAAACATAACAAAAACAGAGTCTTCAATATCGTTTTCCCAATAAATTTCGTGTTCTACACTTTCATATTTAATGATTTTCGCTTTCATATTTCGTGTAATATACCCTAGGTCTTTTTTTTTAGGAACCGGCAAATATATAAATATAAAAATACCTCACATCAAGACGATGCAATGGGGAAGTACAATATACCCTAGATCTATGGATGTAGTCTTCAAAAGAATTAGCTTTACCAAACAAAAAAGGCTTAGCGGCGTAGCTTGTTGTCCGTTTGCCATCTCACTGTGAAAATTAAATAATCTATATCCTATATAACTTAAAAAGACTTTTGATGAAAAAAAAAAAAAAAAAAATTCCCCTCTCAATATTTCCAATAACCTTTCCATATATTTAATACTTCATATTTTGTATTTTTAGTTTTTCAAATTTGTCATTTTTCCGATAGAAATGGCATCAAATTAATCGGATGTTGGGAAGTTCTCATTCGACCATGTTTCAAAGTTTTGCTATGCAACCAGATAAAAAGAGGTTTGAAATTATTAAAAACTAGTAAAGAACCCGCGGCTACGCCGCTTTCGGGTAATATGAAAAAAATCGGCCAACTATAAAAGATATGTGCTAAAATTGTAAATCACCATAAATAGGGGAGAAAGTCGACAACCCCTAAAATTAGATGTCAAGAGTGTACAACGAAAAGAAGACATTGGTGGAGAAAATCCAAAAATGTTGTGGCAATAATGTTAAAGTTGGGAAAATATGATGGCAAATTTTTAACGGAGCTTTTTTGTGTTTTTTATGTCAAAATGTAAAAGTTTTGACTACAAGGATGAAAAATGTCAAATTCATTAAAGATTTGTGGCAAAAAGACCAAAATGTAAAACCTTTGACTGCAAGGACTAAAGTGTCAAAGTCATTAAAGATTTGTGGCAAAAACCTTAAGGCACAAAAACTTAATCAAAAGGCAAAAATGTAAAATTTTTCACTTTAGGGACTAAAAGTGTCAAATTCAGCAAACTTTTGTGGCAGAAACCTAAAACCTAAAAAATTACTATTCCTAAGCTCCTTTGGATTTAATATATATATAATTGGCTAAAATGTTGTATTAAAAGAGCACGATTCAAAAAAGTGGCACATTGCATACGATAAGATAACTAGATATTGTTTATAAAAAAAAACATTAGCTTATTATTTTTTAAAAACATTAAGGGTGTGTTTGGTTATAGAAAACTTTTTTTTTTCTTTGGAAAATTTTTCAGAAAAAGGAATTTTTTATTTTCATTTTTCAGTTAATTTGGAAAATACATTAAGTGGAAATGAGCTTTCATTTTCCATATAAAAAGGTTATTTGTATGTGTATTTTCTGCCGGTATTTATTTTTAGGTTTTTGTTATTTCAATTAATACAATATTTAACATATTACCTAGATAACATTTAACAAGTGTTTTGTATTGTTTTGAGGGCACATCAAACTACATTTTGCTAATGCAACAATTATAAAAATGATCCATATGCTATTAGTTTTTAGAGTTATAGAAATGGTCCCTATGTACTAATTAAATTATAGAAATGGTCCATGTATCTTTGTATTTTGCATGAAATATATAAAGTTACAGAAATGGTCATTGTATAAATAGCAAGAAATGTAAATATTATAGAATTTATCACCGTGTAATAGTAATATAACAAAATTTACCCATGTCCCCTTATATTTTGTGGGAAATGATATATTGTATTAGTTTATGCACTAGAAATAATTTATGTTATTATTTAAATTGTTTTAAAATAAAGTTTATTGTTGAACTTTATGTTTAGTTGTTTTGTCAAAACTACATATTTGTGGGTGTGGATGTAAGGGTGGGATGTATAGTAGTGTGAGGTGGGGTGAGTAAAGAACGAGGTGAGACTACAAAGTAGTAATTTTATACTTAGTTAATATATATTAAATTGTAACTGTTTGAACTATATAACATAAACATCTATTAGAAACATAGTGCCTACAAATGAGAGTTTTGAACAACATAAATATCTATTAGAAACACCGTAAGTACAAATAAGAGGAAAATAAAAATTCATTATCAAATTATATCAAATTACATGTGATTTGCATATGAATAAAATTAAATATAATTCTTGATTTTATGTTATTTTTAACTATTATTATGATTAATTAATTTAAAAATTACTTATTTGACCATGTTTTAATTATGATCATGGTGATTTTGTAAAATATGAACCATTGATTTTTAGGCAACGTAAGGTTCATCCCACACATAGTATTTTGCATCAATTTTTAATTTATCGTTTTGAGCACGTGTGAATGTGTCGATATACCTTTTTGTGACCAAAAAATTAAC